GATATTAGGCAAATTTTTGTGCGACTGGATGGTCGTGCGCATTCCCTGCGACGCCCCGGTTTTAGGGAAAGAGAAGGACCAACGGACCTATTCTGTCTCCGCCGCGGGACCCACAGGATGCTGCGCGTGAGATGGTTTGCAAAATCAATGATGGTGGTGGTGATGAGAAGTTGTTTGTAGATACCCAATTTTGCACAATAAATAATTTCGATATTCCAAATTATCATGACAGATGAAGGCGTAATATTTCATGAGAAATTATTCAAACATGCCCAATCATGCGATGCTTCGGTTTTGACCACATGAAGGCGTTAAATCGTTACAGATGAAGAGAAGAAAAAGAAGGGGATAATGTGATTGAATTGACTTGAATATCAAAATTGAGTGTCACTTTTGTGACCATCGGTAATGTTCTATGTGCGGAAAATATCATCATCCTCGTTTCCCAAAGTTTTGAGTGATTTTACCAAAATATATTACTATAAGATCATATTCCGATACCTGTACATGTATATCGACAATGCACAGTCAAAAAGATTTTGACCTTTCCTTGAATCTATCTCTATAACACTTCCGAAAATCTATTGACCCAACTCCTGAGCATAACTTTGTAGCATTTCAGCAGTAATGTTACTTCCGCCACATACAACAATCACAACCTTACTTTCTTTCGTCAGCTCCGGAAGAACCTTCTTTAATCTCCCACCATAGCATAAAGCGAGGTTCACTCCACAAGCAGCCTCTACCATGATCCTTTCATCGTCAGCAAACCTTACACACCCCTCCATAGCATCCCGGTCCGTCAAAACCACACTCTTGACATTCTCCAGTTGCGCATACTCAAACGTCTGTCGCGCCACCGACCTCGTTCCCAAAGCATTCGCAATACTCGTAATCGCCGGCAAAGTAGCTATACGTCCTTCTTTCAAAGAAAGCGCAAGCGAGGCCGCTCCTTCCGTCTCAACCGCAAGAACCTTGGTGACAGTATTTGCCCCAGCTCGAATCAAGCCTTGCATGATACCGCTGAAAAGACCTCCACCACCAACACTGCAAACAACAGCATCCGGTGCACCTCCCAGGTCCTCAAGTACTTCCTCGACAATCGTCGCATTCCCATCCCAGATTTCCTGCGCGTCAAAAGGCGGGACATACGTTGGGATCTCCCCTCTTTCTTTGGCAGCCGGAATCACTACGTCCTTTAAATGCGCGTCGGCTTCCATCCATGAAGCGCCGACCTGAATGACGTCCGATGCCCCTGCTGCATTCAGCTTCTCAATCATGTACTGGCTCGTAGTTGTGGGAACCACTATGGACACCGGCACGCCTAAACTGGCAGCCGCGCTCGCACATCCCAGACCTGCGTTGCCGCCGCTGGAAATGTAGAAGTGCAGTTTCTCGCGATCGGCTGGATTTGAGAGAGAGATTGTGTGTTGTAAAATGAAGTTTCCTACGCCCCGGGATTTGAAACAGCCTGATGGTTGCAGGTTTTCGAGTTTGAGGTGCACCTGACTGTGAGATGGGAAGTTAGAGAGGTGCAGATGGTGTAAGTGGGTTGGGGGAAGGTGCGGATGTACCAGCCTGCGTGTTTGGAGAGGATTGCAGAGTGAATTAGTGGAGTCCTTCTCCATGGTTTAGACAGTGATTCCGAAGTCATGGTATCTAAAAGTGTTTCGCGAGAGACAGGTTTGTAATCAGGTCAATAAACAAAAACTGGTGTCTTTAAAGACGGTTTACGTTCAGCGCCCAATCGTTGTGATTGATGATGCTTATATATCTATATACGGAAAATGGCTTAGTTTGCCTCTCCACTTTTCGTACGCCCTTTTGTAGTTTTTAGTATCTTCGGTTGTTTTCCTTGTCATTCTTTGAGATTTTTCGGCTCATCGTTGGTGGCCCCGCGCTGCATAAGCACCAGTCTTGAGTGCAACTAGTGATTACATGACTTTGTCTGATTGGCTCATACACCACAGTAAGCGCACATGGAATACAATCTTGTCAACTTTCTGAGGCCTAATCTGACACTTCACTAATAAAGAAAACTTGTGGTTGGTTGTGTCCTGAAGCTTCCTGAATATCCGTGTAGGCCAATGAGCGGTCAACGTTAGAGATTGAAGAACTAGGGTGCATTGTTTCCTCTATCCATTCCTCAAGCCACCGGAACAGAACTGAATTTGGGCTGATTATACCAAGGTCCATAGATAGGGAATTCGTTTCTCATCAAACTGATTTTGTCAAAGGTTCATGGTCCGTTATGCTGGATACGGCTTGTTATCAGCTTTGCTCAACCTTCGAACTCCCTCCGCCTTTCTATCCTCCGCCAGTATAGATGCAAATTTACTGGCGTTCCTAATTTGGGGACCCTTCCAATAGAAGATGTAGATAGGCACGATACCCACGCAGGATAAGCATGCCAAGATGGTGGTTGCCAGCTCTGAGGGTCTAGTCTCGCTCAAGTTCGTATAAAGAGGCGTCGCATACATTGCCGCAATACCAGCGAGGAAGTCTCGCGCAAACGCATTACCGCCAGTCGCAGAAGCGGAATAGGGTCCGTAAGCAGCAATCATATAGTCAACCGAAGAATAGTAGATGGCGAAGTTGGCAAGGCCGACGAGGAACGAGAAGATCATAGGAGCTATCCAGTGCGTCTGCGGCGGACCCATGCACGTCCAAGCGAATCCGAAAAGACCAATGGGTTCAAAGAGAGCGAGCAGTAAGAGCGGTTTGAGGCGTCGCTCGGGTGACATAGAGTCCAGGCCATTCTTCTTGCGGAGGTGCTCATCTCGCCAAAACCAGGGCCAGTATAGAAAATACGTGAAGAAGTAGCTGGCATTTATGGGAATAAAGGCCCACGCCACCTGCAGTGTTCCAAAGTTAAAATTGTCGGGGAATGTGATGGCGAAGGCTTCGAGGAACGTGAAGATGAGGGCGTCTGAGAATCCGGAGAGAAGAGAGAGGAAGAGAACGATGGGTTCGCGGATAAACATTTCAAATGGGCGGAGCCAGATTTTTCCGGCTTCTTTTAGAGATATGCGTGGGGTCTTGAGTTCGTTGGGGCCGTAGACGTTGGGGTCTTCGCCGGTTTCACGACGGCGTTTGGCTTCGCGATCGATGAGGATGGTAGAACGCGATTCGGGCATGAAGAAGTGAACGGCTTGGACAGCAACACCAAAGATGAGCTGGATCCAGAAGTTCCATTGCCATGTGAGATCTGTTTGTATTGTAAGCTTTCAGACCCATCGTTTAAGAATGGTATGTTGGACTTACAGTGCTCTATAGGTCCTCCTATTACTCCACCAATACTTGTACCTATTGTGGAAGATAGCACGACGAAAAGCAACGGCCAATGCTGCGTTTCCGGCTCGTAAAGATCAGCGACGAGACCTAGTGTTACACTTCCACCTGCGGTGCTAAGACCACCCTGAATTGCTGTTAAAACCCTGTCTCATATTGAGTATTTGCGCAACTTACAAGGCCTCGGCAGACAATAATTGTTGCAAAGTTCGGCGCGACAGACGCTGGTATCTGCCAGATATTGATGAAGAACAGACTCAGCTGCAAGATGGGCCAGCGGCCAAACTCTTCGCTCCAAGGAGCCCACAGCTCGCAGCCAAAGCTGTACGCGACAAGATAGATCATCTGGCCAATACGCGCTTTCTGCGTGCTGACGCCAAAATGCTCAGATATCGGATTGACGGCGCTGGGGTACACAGAAGTGTTGAAATTCATCGAGATCTGAATGCCAGCGATTGAAGCCAGATACATTGCCTTCTTCCATTTGGGCCAAGAATATGCTAGCTTATCCCAGCAGTCCTTCTCTCTCAGTTCGCGCTTGCCATCTGCACGAGGAACGGTAGACCGTCGGTGAGCGTCGAACCAGCTGCTCTTGCGGCCCTTTTCGTCGCTTTGATCTTTCAGAGTCTTTCCGACAGGTCCATCCGAGAGGCTTTTTTCGTTTGACGCCATTGCGAGGCTGGGGCTGTCGCTAGAACGCGGGGATAAAGGCTCCGACATCTTCTCCGCCATTGTTTCGATTAAAGATGAGATGAGTGAAGTTGAGCAGCGAATGCTCCCAGCGTCGTCGCCTACCCCGCGTGAGATATGTACGCATTCTGCCGTACAACATTCTTGCGAACAGCAATCCACAATGACGTGAATTATGGGTTCAAGAACAGCAGCCTTACTCGTCCTGATACGGAGCGTACGATATATGGGGCGTGTTTGAGCCTCATGTGAAAGTCCTAGCCCCAAAGCGTAAAGTCGCCCGGCTCAGAGTGGAGTTTAAGCTCAAGAAATGGTGAAATTTCGAGCTTAAACCCACCCACTTCGAACGTCATCGTTCTCGAGTGCCTTGCGATCGCGAGTAAGGAAAGCTTCATCGTACCATGGTATTATATTGCGAAATCGGGCTACGAACGGTGAATTTCCTGATCATAGTAGGATTCGACATCTAATTCGCATAAGCGCAGTCTCGAAGAATTCAGGTGATGGAGGGGTGCTGTAGAAATCAGAATTATTACTCGCGACGTTGGTAGAGTTTTCGCGTTCGCGCATACCATGATGTCAGCGGGGATGATCAGTAGATGTCCAAGCATCTGATATTTGATGCAAATCGCCTTATGAGTGCGAATTTGAGTGGGCTACATGTAACTAGGGATATAATCGGGTGATGGTTGAAGATGGTTCGAGCGCAGTCTCCGCAGTGGGGGGATAAGCGATGGGAATGGCGGCTGAGCATGCGTACGAACACTGCGCAACACCTGCCTATTGAACGGAAACATGGGTGAAAGATCTCGGTCAACGGTATTAACGGTGTTGTCAATTGCTGTAAATTCAGTTCAAGATATTCTTTGTGCACTTTTTACCCTTCGATTGTGAGGTGCAAAAAAAAAAAAAGCAAAAAAAAAAGTAAAGGAGAGAGACGATATGTGCATCGGCTGGTTTCGTCTACTGTGAATTCTTCTGGGTAAGGACGCAAAATTAGGCAAAAAATACAGTTACTGTGCGTCCATCGGGAGTCGAACCCGAGCCCTTCGCTGTCGCTTGGAAGGCGAAGATCCTAACCGCTAGACCATGAACGCTTGCTTGATGAAAATTTGATCAAAAAGATAATATATATTGAGGTAAAATATAAGAGAAGCAGAAGTGGGCGTCGGATGTTCACGTACGCGCCAGGGGTTAGCGCTTATGGTGTATTATCTCCACTCCTCTTGAACTACCTACTAGGATGGTAACTAATGCCATAATTTCTCGTCCACAAGAAACACTCCAACGCTCTTGGCAACTAGCCCAGGCCAGGGGATTTTTGAACGTCAAAAATCGTCCTAGGTAGAAAAATCAATACTATTCCACAACCACACCAGAGAATTTAATACTATAGACGGTATGTGTTTCGCCGGGTGATTTTGTGAAGGTGTTTTATTTTTCTATTATTACATGTCGTGGTTATGGTTTTCGATGGGGGTGTCGACTTTGGTGGTTGACAAGTGTTCTCCCGCCTCACCACAAGGCTCGCGCGATCAAATTTTTGAACGTCAAAATATCACCCAGGTAGCAAAATCGTGGGAATGCATTAGTATCCCCAGCTGTGTCTCTCCCTCCCACTCTGTTAAGGACGGACATGTTCTAAGATCCTAACTTTCTAGTGTAGATGGGAATTTGAATCAGTCATCAGTTTCACCCTGGTTAGGGTAATCAATGTCAACGGTGTCAACTCGAACGTTCTATCACCAGAATGGCGTTCATGCATCTGGATACTTCCCTTCATCTCAAGCTAACACAGGACTTGCCCTGTTGTATGTTTCCTGTGTCGATAATACCCATACGTGAAGTCACGTAGCTCAACGCATGAGTAAGAGGACAGTGTGAACAATGTGTGTGTTTTTTATTCATCCAGGTTATGTGTTTAAGTTTGGACACTGTTGCTTGATCTGCGTGTCTACGGATAGCGCAAGTGACTGGACTAAACATTGTGAGCACCATATGCTCGTACTAGAGCTGTCCAAAATTTAAATCAAATAGGGTCTAGTCTGCAACAGGAAGAACAGCAGGCAAATTGAATACCTTTTCGGTTAAACCCTGGGTATAGATTCGTCTGTTATTGAGACACCACATAGAGTGGCGTATTGAGACACCAATCATGTACTGTAACCACTCTGGTTGCGTGAACCTAACTTTGTACCCGCGATATAGGGATACCCCCGAGTTAAGCGTCCGTATACTCCTAAATGTGGGATTTTCACATACTTACCCCCCCCCCCCCCCCAATACTCTCCATTAATCACACTACGGATACACAACATTCATACGATACTTATTTGAAGTCCATCGTGGGTGACTTTCAAGAGCTTCGGATTCCAGTTATACCGGCTCCGAGTACCCTTCCTCTCGGAAGACAGTGGAAGTTAAATTTAAACACGGCAGATTTTCTATACATTACGTAAGAAAGCTAGTACACTTAAGATTATAATTTTTAGGATATATATTATGTATTATAGAATGCTATAACTATCTAAATAGCAATATAACTTTAGTATCTAGAGCTTGAGGTTATATAGTACGTTAGGTAATGCTATCTCTTTTCTCTCAAGTGCAACTTCCACTGTCTTCTAAGAGCTGGACCATATCGTTCCAGTGCCCTCGTAATCACGCAATAGCATTTCATTCCAAATTATCCCTATTCACACAGTCCTACCACGAACTAGCAAACTCCCTACTTGCTCTCAATATCATGAACTTTATTCAGCAGTTTCCCCTCCAAGCTCTTCGGCTAAGGGTGGACTACAATGCTCGGTGAGGTCCCATTCATCGCCCAAATATGAGATTGAGCTACAGCAAGTAGTTATAGCTTTGTAGCCGAGGTAAGAGTGGTAGAAACTTTGCGGAGCTGACGGTTCGTCTGCCCTCGTCCGCGTACAACACGGTTTTGGAAAGAAGCCTACGGATGTACACATATCAACCTGCTTCACATATTTACCTCACTAAGAGCATCTGCACTCGGATCACTGCGGTGAATGTACCGCCTACTCAACATTAATCATGAATTCTTACACAGTAATGCTCTCCTGCCGTTTATAATGCATACGCGCAGCTAGGCAATGGGCTTAGCGCACATAGAGGGGTATATTCATTCAAAGTATTCGAGAATCGATCGATCCATCGTTGCAGCTCCAGCATCGATATTCTTCAGCAGGTCTGCTCTAGCAGAGACGGCCTGATAAACAGGATGATCCTCTCCTACGCACACCAGCTCGTGGGCGCGCTCTTTCTCCACCCAAAGAAGCGCCAGCTTTACATTCCCCAGTTCGAGACAGTATCTCACTGCATCGTGGTATGATGTGCGAAGCTCACGATTGAGAATTCCTTCAGCCATCTGCAGCGATGCTAGTCGTGTTGCAGCTTTCAGAGCTTGGGCTGTGGTCATTTCGTTTCCGTATGCACTCTGCTTGGCGAGTTTTTGGTCGATATCAAACATCTCTTTGCGTCGTTCCTCTCTCTTCTTGCCCTCGGCATCATTCCCGCACGCTGCGCATTTACAGACGAACCCCCACATGTCTAGCTTTGGTTGTCTCCATTTTCTGAGCCGCGAACCGCCATTGATATATGAAATGAACAGTTCCTCTCCCTCCGCAATATCTCTCAAAGCGTGGAACGTTCCTTCCTCAATAGCAGGGTTGTACTCGTAATGCACGTTCGGAAGGCACGAGTGGTTGATGCGACTTGGGAGAAAGTACACGCCGACCTCGAAGCTGTTCGCATCGTATACGCCTATCGCATCGCGCTCCCACTGGGCGAGGTCCTCCCACCGCTTGCCCATATGTTTCTTCGCGAGGTCTTTGCGCACCGGGGGCGCGAAAGGGTGAAGCTCAAGATACCTGGCTTTGTCCTCCTTACTGAGCTTGTTGACCGCCTTCAAAATCTCGGTCGGGTTTTCGCCACCATCGAGGGCAAGCAGGAGCGGTTCGGAGAGGATCCGGGTGGCGCGAGGAATCGGTGCGATAGCGAAGACACCCAAGCCGCTTTCCGGTGTGTCTCGAACCTCTATGAGATGCCTGGCATCCTTGGGTAGAGAGGTACCGTTGGCGCTTCCATTCGGTTTCACGGGGCTTTCGGCACCCATATTGGTGGGTAGGTTTGGAGAGTCGCGAACGTGTCTCTCTTCGACGGCCTCACCATCAGTACCAAGTGGTGGTGTGGGGTATGGAGTCAATCAGGTAACCCAAAACCTTCTGCTCTGACATTCAAGGTATGAAATCTTCGCGGGTTGCCTACGCTAATGAGGGGCATCTGTGGCGGCAATGATTACAGCATCATTGCAGGTGGGGCGGCTTTACCAGCTTTAGAAGTTTTGCCGAACCGTTATTGCTTGGTTTGCGATTGGATGGTGAATTCAGTCAGACAGACGACTTGGGAGAAAAATTGACGAAGTAGTGAAAGACACAACTTGAATGGAAAATCACAATTCCAGGGATTTGGGCAGGGAACGAGGTATACGGTGATGTATCACAAAGGCTACTACGATGAAAGTACGGAAAAGTCATAATTTTCCTCGCGGGTAAAATGCGAGTAAGACTAATGTTCGCATAGATTGCTATCTTCAGACATTAACACTCCGATTTTATACAAATCGGTTTCACTTCATGCAGTATTCAATTTTGGAGATTGATAAACTTGCGATTCTATGGTGTTACGGTGATGCGCACGTAAAATCACATTTTCCATATTCGCATCCTAGTCATTGGCTACGAATGTATTTGAGAATTTCGTACAAGCGGCAACGGAAGTGATCTTGTATCATATCCGTATGCGCGCGGTTGGAATAGAAACGTCGTCAAGTGGAGCAATCAATTGATGTTGGCAATGTTGGGAAATAGAAATTTTGGCGATTCGGAAATAACGTATTTACTTCGAGAAGTTTTATTAGGATTCAGAAACAAAGTTACACAGTTGACAGGCACGACAGGTATCGCGAGGGCCTGTTGTGAATATACTTTGCTATTCTCGGTGTCGAGCGGCCTCGCCGCAAGCCTCGCCGCAAACCTCGCCGCATTTTGTAGATCAACAGATTTGTCCGACAACGAACCATAAACGCTCACATTCAGACCCATAGAACAAGATTCAGGTACCCACCAATGAACGTTTGGTCGATCAATGGCATTCATTTTATGCGAAACATGCCAGGAACGCAAAAGTGAAGGCCTGATCTCGGCAGAGCCCCGCTGCACGTTTCAGAGTCGCGATGGACAAAGATGAAACATCAAAACTAATCTGATATGCCATATCGAAGCCCGATGCCATCCTTTTCTTTCAAATGAAGACATATATGTTCTACGTCTTCCTCGCATGAATCCGACGGATTTTGGGCAGCTTCAGAACGAACAGCGATTGCAAGATTTGCATTGCGCATAGCTATTTGCGCCATCATCAGCCTTGGCATTCCGGACCCGCTGATCGTTTCTCGAGGCTGTGAAACCTATCATTTAGCGCTATGTTTGGGATCTCTTAGAGATTTTTGCTTCAAACCCCGCGCTCTGTTTCCCCATTCAACATTGTGATATGTCAACCAGAGCCGAAGCCAACGTTTCATGCATCGATCTGAGGCATGACCTAGGAATCCATATTGCGGCAATTAAGAACAATGGAAGGATGAGTAGGTTTTCTCAGCCAAGACGGGAAGGTTGACGGAAAACTGAGACTGCGCATGTTGGAGGAAAAGAAATTGTGTCCTGATATCCCTACAGACTGAAGACTTTAAGATCCTCGCTTCTCTCCAGTTTTCGAGGCGATCATGCTCTGTTGAGTTCATCTTTTTGCATTCTATCGTTGCTCTTTTCCATTCTTGAGATACCCTTTGATTTAGCTTGTTTATACCCCGAGCAGGTCTCTTCATTCCTTGCATTTTTTATACCACGACTCATTCATTCATCATGCGGTTCTCCCTACTCCTCGTCGGCACTCTTGCAGGCCTCGCCACTGCTCTTCCCCAGAGGGGCATTGGCAAGGGAAAATCCAATGTGGGCAGACCGGCTGGCCAAAACGACCAAGGAAATGCCGCTCAGGCTGCTCAACCTCCCCCGGCTGT